GACTGATCCTGTGAGACTTACGTATCATGTAAGACTGATCCTGTGAGGCCGACGTATCCTGTAAGACTGATCCTGTGAGGCTGACGTATCCTGTAAGACTGATCCTGTGAGGCCGACGTATCCTGTAAGACTGATCCTGTGAGGCTAACGTGTCCTGTAAGACTGATCCTGCGAGGCTGACGTATCCTGTAAGACTGATCCTGTGAGGCTTACGTATCTCGTATGACTGCTCCATGGTACCTCAAAGTCCTGTGGGGAGGTTTATGTGATATCCCTGAAGTCCTTTAGGACAGCGATGTGGGATCCCGTAATTCTATAGGGCAACCTTGTAGGACCCCCGAATTCCACATGGAAATCCCGCAAGACTTAGCAGTCCTCCAGAAAAGTATGTGAAATCCCTCAGGATCTTGTAAGAACAGTGTGATCCCGCGCCGGTCCCACAAAACTTTTCGCTAGGGCTGCTCCAGCTATGAATCCGCTCCGATCAGACAGGTGTCATCAGCGAGCAGAAACCCTGTTGTAACAGTGACCAGAGGCCCACAACTCACGTCGGATGTTTCCACTGCTGATCGATAACAGCTTTGGATGACGGTGTGGCGTTGGAGGCGTCGATACGAACATGCTCCATGAGGTGGCCTATGGCGCAATGAATTGTTAGCAGAAGTCCTAAAAAGCACGATCTTATCAGGCATAACTGCGATGGCCACTGACCGTGTGTGATCAGTGCAGGCACGCGTCTTTGCATGTTCAGAAAATACTTGGCGAAACACAGAGGATCCAAAAGTGCGATCATTGCGGAATTTCATTTTTTATACGCCTCTCACGCACCCATGACACTCAGATGAGCTCTCACCGAAACGTTAAAACATACGCAAAGGCAGACTTGGATGACAGATATGATGTAAATACACACGCCGCCCACACTATGCAGGGCCAGTCGATAACTCGGTCATATGGCGTGTGCTATGCTGGGCTGAATCCCATTACTTGATTACTGAGCTGACAATCTTCCTAAAATAAGCCCAGTCCAACACGATGCTGTATTGTTTGCGGCGTTGGCAGGACCCAAAATTCCGAGAACACCATTGGTTTCGCTCTTCTTTCTTTGAGTGCTAAGATTTCCGGAAGATTAGTTTGCAGATCCTGAGATAGTCTGCGCATCCCCGACTTCAATATATATTGCCACCACATCATTTTCGGTTTTACAAATACCGTATTTGATTCATCACTTGCTCTCCGAGCACGGCGCACATTTTCTTCTATTTAAACAAACAAGTGGCCCTCTTGAGGAGTGGGAAAATTGACGATAACAAATACTGTGATCGGAAAAATATCGTCCGTTCCGCTGTTTTCTGGCTCAATCCAGAAAAACGTACGTAGCGCAATTTAAGCCTAATGAAATTTGACAAGGTAAATCTCCGTAAACGTCCCCCCCCCCCCCCCCGAGAGCGAAAAGAGACAATGCGTTGCCCATCCCCATGACAGCGTCCCAATACAGATTAATTTGTTGGCATGCCTAGTGTATCGGACCCGTCCCTCAAAAAATAGGATGAGGGCGAAGGAGGCACACACTTTTTCAAACCTGACACTGTTTAAGGCGTGTTCGCATCCTGCTGTTTTTGCTGATTTGCTGGCGGTGTTCTCATCCTGCTGTTTTTGCTGATTTGCTGGCTGTACTCGTATCCTGCTGCATTGTTAGCAACTGGTGCTGGCATCCTGCTGTATGGCTCCGCGAAATTAGTGCTACAACAAATTGCCCTGCCGACGGAAGTGCTACGACATCACTTCTACTGTCAATACTTACGCACGACATTGGCGCTACGCGACAAATCTGATGCCGCAAAAAAATTAATATCCGTCATTGTTTTTGCAAAAGCTCATCTGGCGGTTACTTACACACGACATTACTTCTACTGTAACAACCGATACACTCGTTGCTTACACCCAGCCTTACTTTTACTGAGAAGAGTTACGTGCCACATTATTGCTGTACAACAAGGTATGTACTCCAAAAATGTACATGTATCATTACTTTTACTGCTAAAACTTATGGTCTTCAGCGTATACGCAACATTTCTCCTACTGCCAATGCTCGCCGTTGAGTACTAATTGTGTGAACACCGTGGGAGCAATCCGCAGGCTAGAGGAGAACCACAGCTGGGCATTTCTGCAATTAACAGTTCGTGGTGCCTGTACGAGAGGTGATTGATTTATCATGTCACGTTATTTTGTCGATCTGTTGTGATTGACGAAAAAGCATGGCCCACGGCTATCTAGCATAGCCTGTAGTTTTGGTGGCAAAATCTGACTGACAGGTATAGCTTTTTTGAAGCATTTTTTGCTGTGCAGCACTGGAGCGTTATAGTTTTTGAAGTGCAAGAAATGCCGCATTTCCATGAGCACCAGGCAACTGGTGTAGTTTCATATTGAGTCGAGGACATAGATCGCCCTTTCATCTGTGCAAGAAAAATTTGTCATATCCACGACGAACGCCGTGTTTCATGCATGCGAAAGCAGGTTTTGCAATTTTCCCTTGCTTAACACCCAAACCTATTTCGCAACGCTTCGGCAGCGCACTATACGTTTTTATGGAAGAAATGCCGCGCCTAACCATTGCCGTGTTGGTTATGTCCATCGCAATGTTTACAGCAGCAATATTGTATCGACACCTTGGAATTGGCCACATGAGTCTGATCTCGGGCGTGCAAGTGTTACCGTGTGTCAGTATATATATATATATATATATATATATATATATATATATATATATATATATATATATATATATATATATATATATATATATATATATATATATAATATATATATATATATATATATATATATATGTGTGTGTGTGTGTGTGTGTGTGTGTGTATATGTGTATGCGTGTATATGTATATAGTCATCTGGTGCTTCGGTGGGCTTAACCTGAGGTTGGAGTATTGAATGGTTATAATATGTAGAGTATGGCAGGCTTCAGTTTAAACAAATATCGCGTACAAACATTAGCTGATAGCATTGGCCAAAGAAGGAATATCGTGATAAATTCATGCTTCATTTGTTTTGTGGTAGGCATATTGACAGGCATAACTTTAAACAGGAGTTTTTCATTTTCCTTTAAGTTTCGTCGTGTAGCGCTGTGATACGTCATTTGTTCTGGAAGAAAAGAATGTCGCGTACGGGTAGTTTGTATGAGATTTGATGTAGCTGTAATGGCGGGTTTACTTTTTTGCAATGTAAGATTTGTCGTGTAGCACTCATATCGTGTAAGAGTTTTACACTAGAAGTAAGGTGGCGTATAGCTAAATGCTGTTTAAGTCTTTTATGTAGATGTAATACCGGGTATATGTTTTTCGGTACAAGTTTTGCCTCAAGGCACTCATATATATGAGTGCTTCCAGCAGAAGAAAGATCGCGTGTAAGAAAATACTTTATAAATTTTGCAAAAGATCCATTGTCGTGTAGCTCTTATGTGTTAATTTGCAGTAAAAGGAATGTCGCTTTTAGGTAAATATTATATAAGGCATTTTTCTGGAGGAAATGATATCGCGTCGTTCTGTCAGTAAGGTATTTACTGTAGCACTTATGTCATGACACCCTAGCGCATATTACAACTGCAGTATCGTAGCAGCAGCTGCTTAATAAACGCCCTAACCGGCCGAGATGCCTTTCAGGTTAGTGCATTCTCTCCAAGAGTGAAATGATCGGTGGAACGAGGACTGTGGGCCACCAAAATACCACACCGCATTTTTTCCCGGATTATCATCGTTCATCAATGCCACAACACTGAGGGAAACGAGGAGGCCACCTCAAACACAATAAGAGCCGGCGTTATCGTGCATCCAGCCTTAATCCAGGCAGGCCTTCTCTTTCCACGTCGTCTGCTGGGCTGTCGTAAGATGAGTCGGCCCATCAACTGCCCCTGATCTACCTTCCGCACCAACCACGTTTGATTTCATGCATTTGGCTTTTGTGTGATAAATTTCTGTGCGATGAATAAAATATTTGTTCGTGATTTCATATCTCATTAGTCCAGCCACACGAGTTCGTTTCCATCATGCATGAATGCGGACTCCAATACATTGGGGCACAGGAGAATAGGGTTCGTCTACCCCAAAATAAAGTGCCCCCCCCCCTCCCTTTTCCTCACCCACTCCGTCGCGCCAACGCTGGGAGAGCCGCATGCGATTGGTGGGCGGTGCCGTCGACAGCTCGGCGCCAGGCGTCGCTGCCAGCAGGCTGTGTCAGCAGCAGGAGTCTGACACGCGCCGCCCGACCCTCCCAAAATGTTTATTTTCCGCGGTATCTGACCTGGCGCCGCCCCGCGAGAGGGCCAATCGATGGTGGAGCGCGGCGGGTGCCGCGCGCCTGTGCAGTAGAGCGAGCCCCCCAATATTGATTCCTGTAACCAGGGTGGGTCGCTAGGATATGGCCACCTTTTCCGACAAACGCGTCCCGGCCGGGCCGGCGACGACACTTAGATAATGAAGCGGCCGCGTGACCGGTCGACTCATTCACCCGACGCGAGCGCGCCGCCCCGAAACGGACCCTGAGCAGCATGAGCCCGGGACACGTGTCGCCACGCTCGGAGGCGCGACCTAATGAGGCGTGTCGCACGCGACCCCGTGAAGCTGCAGTCCGGCGGGGGACACGCCATCAGGGAGCATGAGACAGCCCGGCGTGCGGCTGTCTCCGGCTGTCCTGGTAAAGGCCGCTCTTGTTAGGCTTAACAGCCCTAGAAATGACTACATCAGCTATTCCCACGCACGAAAGCGATATCATGGCCGTTCTCGCTACGCTCTCTGGCTCATACGTGGACTGTTTCACGCATCAAGTTTTCCAAACGAGATATATCTGCAATTAATAGCCAGGCATAGTTGGGATATGCCGATCATCATCTGCTTTGTAATGAGTCTTCTTGCGAATATTTATGTCACATGGCTGAGAATGTGAACCTTTCCAACGATGCGGAAGATCTGACGCTCTCTTTCTTTCAGGAGGTCGTAGCTTGTCCGGAAGCTAACCGGAAGACGCCCGGAAGTGGCCTGGAAGTGGGTGGCCTTGGCTGCGCCATTAGTGCTGTCAGCTGCACTTCCGGCGCGTCTTCAACGGCGGCGCGTCATTGTCCGCGCCCAGCAGAACAAGGGACAGCCGGGGCTGAGCGGCGACCGTAGGCCGGCGGTTGTCGGCCAGCAGAACACGGCCCTGCCGAGGCTGAGCGCCGAACGTAGGCCGGCGACTGCCGCCCAGCAGAACACGGCCCTGCCGAGGCTGAGCGGCCACCGCTGGCCGGTGGCTGTCGGCCAGCAGAAGACGGCCTTGCCGAGGCTGAACGGCCACCGCTGGCCGGCGACTGCCGCCCAGCAAAACATGGGCCCACCACTCGCCATCGGCTGTCGCTCAGTAGAACACGGGCTTGCCGCTCGCCGGTGGCGGTCACGCCCAGACGTCAGTGTCGGATACCATAGCTCGGTGTGGGCGGGCTGCGCGGGGTTGTGAGACCAGTTGTTCTGGGAGTTCCACATCTGTGACGGCAGGGCACAAGTGGTGATGATCGCTGGCTGGAGGCAGCCGGCTGTCCCGTGCTTGCTATGTAGATGTGTGTGGCGTAGCTGACCGACCGGACCCAATACGTACCGCATGCTAAACCAGCTTTGACGGTTTGTTCCGGTTGCAAAACCAAGCACTTAGGTACATGACCTTGTTGTAAGGACTGAACCACCCGGAAGACTTCAAGCACGCACCGCTGTCCGTGTGACTCAAGTAGCTGTATACTACCACCTCCGTGACTAGTGCTTTTAATAATTTGTCCACGGCCCATGCACGTGGGGTTCGGCTCGGCTGTTGATGTTTCCTCTCGCTGAATCCCAGCCTCCTCCCACTGGCTGTACGCACAAGAGCTGCCGTCAGCTGCCACCCAGCTGCGACACGGCCCGTCTGCACCGCCTGCCTGGCCACCTCACTCGTTGACCGTCAGTCACCCGTGACGGCCCTTGGCGGCGTGGTCGACCTTTGCGAGACGGCAGCTGAGCTCCGTCTCGGCCTCCCTTGCTCAGCCCGACGGGTGCCGCCGGTCTCCTGGCCTTCGTCTGCCCTTGATCACATCATCGAGCTTCGTCGATCGTATCATTCGTTCAGAGGATGTCTTCAGCCTGGGTTACGCTTCTGCTCGGTCTCTGTGCACATAGTCTGTGCATGCCCTACGCTTAGCCTGCGCGGTAAGGTAAACATTTGCTGTTACTACGTGTGCCTCAGTTTCAGTCCTGTCCCCAGTTACCATGGGGGTAGGGGAACTTGTTTATTCGCCCAGTCTCCAAACAGCATGGGTCTCCGTCACACCCTCAGTCTCTGAGTTGTGCCCCGTCTCTGTCACACACTCAGTCTCTGAGCTGTGCTGGGTCTCTGTCACACACTCAGTCTCTGAGTTGTGCTGGATCTCTGTCGCACACTCAGTCTCTGAGTTGTGCTGGGTCTCTGTCACACACTCAGTCTCAAAGTTGCGCCCCGTCTCTGCCATACACTCAGTCTTTGATTTGCGCCCCGTTCCTGCCACACACCCAGTCTCTGAGCTCTACCCCGTCTCTGCCACACACTCAGTCTCTAAGTTGCGCCCCGTCTCTGTCACACACTCAGTCTTTGAATTGTGCCTCGTGTCTGTCCGCGTGGTTATAATCTGTGCTATGCTCATTTCCTCTCCGGCTGTCGTGAGTCTGACCTCATTGGCAGCAGTTCGCGTCTTCAGCTCGGCTGGCCGGCCAGCAGCAGCACACAAGCCAGTGTGACGCGTACGCCTTCCACAAATGCACACATTCTGGCGCATCCGAGACCTGACGGCTTAACACCAGCAATGTGTGATGGCACACCGCCATGGTGCGCTTTACGTGAGTGTCATGGTCATTGGCATCGCGTTTGCACCGTATTGACGAGCGTGCTGACACATGGTTTGATTCCTGATGCGCTGCTTGCTGTCGACATTGGCCTCCCGCTGTTAATTCTGGGAATAGCTACCCATCTAAATCGAGTTTACAAAGGTCACCGCAATGACACGGCACGTCGTCATCCGTTGGCCAGCCAGCGCTGCTGCTCGCTGGGCATAAGTTGTCAATCTTCGCCACCAGGAAAGGTGGGCATTATTGGAGAGAATAGCCATTGAGCCCGATTACATGTCACAGATCATTCGGCGGCCGGGCATCGCCGCCACCGCGTCCGCGTTCCGTTTCAAGCAGCACCCTGTTGGAAATCGCCACAGGTCGGCGGGTTTGCTTATGTAAGCCACAGCGGCGGTCCGGTGTTTATTTATCCGAACAAAGGTCAGTTGGGCTCGTCGAACAAAGACAGAAAGTGTTCCAAACGTGCTAGGAAAAGACATTGTGAGTGAGTTTTGCCGGGACAGAGTTCCAGAACGTCATCACGAGGTTGTTGCTACGCGGTTCCAAGCTTTTCAATTAGTCGGCGAAAGGCTGCTTATGGAAGTATCGCTAATCCCGGATGATCGCGGGAACGTGCGGTGAATCTCCTTTCAAAATACTTCAGGACGAGCTTTAAGGCAGTGAAAACCTCCTGAGCACCAATGCATGTCCGTGCTGCATAGCTCCTTTGTCTGTCTGTTAAACTTAGTTCAAGTCAAGCAAAAAGTTAAGTTTGACAGAGCCATCACCGTGTTCGTTCTAAGCGCAATCCCGGTTTGCTTATTTGTTATATTTTGCAAGGACTACGATACACCAGATGTAACGGACAGGTGTGTGGGGAAGATTGGCACCTTTTAGGTGTCATATTTCTTCTCGCTTCTTCACCAGATATGAAGGTAATAAGTTGGTTCGCGACCAATGCACGTTGCCAAGTGACAGTTGGTAACATGCATGTCACGCAGCGATCTGAACCCGCGTTGGGAAAACTGTTGTGTTTCAGCTACAAAAACATCCGCACGAATCCCATCACCTGCGTATGGTCTCCAGCGCACAAACCCCGAGGCCAGGCGGCGGCCAGTAGGGCAGTGCGTGTGCGTGTGCGTGTGCGTGTGCGCGTGTCGCGGCGGTGCTGGGTGTGGCCGGGCGTGCCATGGCAGAGTCCGGGCCGGGCCGCCCCGGACTGGCGCTGGGCCGCGGCCTCGTGGTCGCACGTGATGTAATGCTGCGCGACTGCGGCGACGTTCCCCGTGTGAGCACGGCAGCCTTCCGCACACCGGCTCTGCGCCTCGTTAGGAGGGTCGGAATGTTCAACGGACGGGAAGAACACCATATAAAAGCTGAGCGTTTTGTGATTCCAATGCCTTTCGTGTCAGAAATATGTCAAGTTTTTATTAAGTGTATTATTCGTGCCATTCTCTAACGTGTTCCATTTGTCCTGTCATAACCAATTGTTCCAATGTAATCATTGGGTTACTGATTTAATCACCAAAGCCGCACCATCTGTCGCGTTAGAGAAGGTGTTAGGTGGACGAAAATTTGTCAAAAACAGTCTACTAGCAGCATTATCGTTTACTAGGGAAGGGGAGTGATACGTTTATGGAAAGCGTCATTTCAGTATACCCGCACCATTTCCAGATACTTTCCGTTGGCAGCACCTTCCAAACAACAGTTCAGCACCATGGTGGCACTTATGATTGAACAAACAAAATAAAACCACACGGGCACGTGCCGGCACCACGCCGTTTTGGCAGGCTACAAGATTCGGATACCGGCACGCAAGGTAGGAAAATAGACAACTGCCAATGATCCACGACTCCATGTCAAGGGTAACCAATCAGCTTTGACATTATGTCACCCCCATTTGCCTAGGATGGTAAGCGGTTGCTGTCTTAGCGAAGTATTAGACAGGATTCAAAAACAGCAAACAACAGCCGAATGGTTCCAATGCAATCACAATGTGTCAGAATCGTGTCTCAAACGTCATTGCGCCGTTCAAATTCGGAACAGTTCCGTTTTAATCTCGTGTAAATAGCAGCACATTAGTTGAAATAAAATAACCTCTAGGTTTGGATTCGTTTTCGGCTGCCAGAGGTGGTAAAAAGTTCTGAATTAGTGGATGAAGGTGGTGACAAAAAGGTGCATTTGTACGGGACGCTTGATGACAACAATCCTTTTGATGAAATATTTCAATGGCAGCCATGACAAAATATTGCGACGCACAATGCATGATCCAACATGAAGCCTCCATGGTCCCACATTTGGTCACACAACACAAGCGCACCTTTAGTAAATGCCCTTTACCGCATCCTTCGGCACCATGGTATCTTGTTTAGGTTGCATCCCAAACAGGTGACAAAATATCTTATGACTTATAGCTGGTAGTCCGACTCGGTGTCTGGTCGGCGACAAATCAGTGTATTTCAGTGGTACGCTAGGCGGGACGATTCGCTGTTTTTACCAACCGACTTTAGGTGACGCACACTTGACAGCAGAAAATACCGAAAAAAAGATCATAAAATGGCAATTAGTTCGGTCGCGGGAACAACTTTCAGTCGTTGCTATGCGGATGCACACGGTGAATTTCAATGTTATGCGAATTCGCAAGTGGTATTCGTAGCACAGCTTAATAAAATGTCACGTTGGTTTTTGGAGCTTTGATAGCCACTAGCTAGGCATGTAGCTAAGGCCTAAGGGAGGAAAGAGGGGGCTTAGAGTCTGTTGTCCACACCCCTGAGCCAAGTTGTTAAGTTCAGACAGCAGACTGATAGAAATATGGTCCGATATATGAAGGGGCTGACATTGGGACCTCCCTGAGGAAAACTCTGGCCACTTACCTGACATAGCACTCCCAATGTAACAGGAATGACTCTGCAATCGAGATATTCAACAGTGGGCATCACGTTATGTTTCGTTTGCGCCCATGAGGACACCATTTGCAAGGGTGAATGACAGGGAGGGGGGGGGGGGGGAAGCAAAGGGCCAGCCAACCTGAATTATCCAACAGTAGTCTAACTTTGGGCCGCAACGGCATCCTATTGGAGATCGTTATCTAGCCCGCTCTCACTACCTCCTGCACGGCATTCGCACAGTCACATTCAGCTTAATCTGAGCCCAGCCCAGAAACCAATAAATTCCTCATTCGTTTCCAGGCAGCGTAGAAATTCAGCCTAGTCCTGTATACTGATTGCCGGGGTGTGGCGAAAGGTGCTCGCCAGGCTGCGCATGTCGCGCCAGTCTTGTAGCATGCCTAAGTATGATGGAGTATATGATGATGATGGCGGGTTTGGGCCAGGGGCATACTCGGGGTTTTTGTAGGTAGACACGGTCTTGGGGAGGCCCGAAATTGGACTTCTTGCCCGCCTACGTCCGTTCCAATTATGGCATGCATTCAGATGCCCCAGCTGCCGAGATTCATCTTTTTTTCGCGTTTGAGGGAGGGATATTCAGTCGTAGGCCAAGCTTTAAACCTGAAGTCCGGCAGCTGCCGAGGATGGAAGGACGCTTCTTACGTAATTAGACTATTCAGGGTCTAGGACGGGCGTGCCTGCATGCCTAGAGGCAGCAGTTATCCTGACATTAGCCGACAATACTGATAATCTTAGTCCTTGTCGAATAATTAGGAGAAAGGAGAGAGGGCAAGAGAGACAGAGGGCATATATATATATATATATATATATATATATATATATATATAGAAAGAGAGGGAGAACGATACACACACACAAATATATATATATATATATGTATATATATATATATATACATACTCTTGGAATCACGGAGAGGCCCAGCTTTTAAATGGTGCTGTTCAAAACGACCGTCCATTCCGACCGCTTTTAACGAACGACGTCCGCCGCTCCTCGCCTCGTATCGGCGACTCGCGCCCACCGTCATTCCTGTCAGCCAGACGCTTGTAATGTCATTACCACGACAGCCTGCCCTCGGCACATCTCCGCCTGACACTACCGCGTTTGCGGTCCACAGACGGCGCGAGCCAGCGCAGGGTCATACAGCATGCCGACAGACAGCCCGCGCGAGCATTGCACATGTTTGAGTGGAAGCCGTTCGACGCGTATTTACGCACATGGTGATGAATGCGTGTAAGCGAAGGCAATGCCATGGTCACAGCTTTTCATATTGCGATGGTGGTTGTGTGTGTGTGTGTGTGTGTGTGTGTGTGTGTGTGTGTGTGTGTGTGTGTGTGTGTGTGTGTGTGTGTGTGTGTGTGTGTGTGTGTGTGTGTGTGTGTGTGTGTGTGTGTGTGTGTGTGTGTGTGTGTGTGTGTGTGTGTGTGTGTGTGTGTGTGTGTGTGTGTGTGTGTGTGTGTGTGTGTGTGTGTGTGTGTGTGTGTGTGTGTGTGTGTGTGTGTGAAATATATCTTAATATGCATACCTGCTTAAGGGATGCGTAGTAGTGGCTTCCCCGTAGTGCGTAGAGATCGTGCGAAGATCGTGCGGGTGCCATTCGGAAGTCAAAATCAAAAGCGGTGTACTACCTCGCTATAGTCTCGTTAAGCCTTTGCGTAGCGGGACGAGGACGCCCTGGATGTACGTACGATCATCCTACGTCGTTCGTATTATCGGGCTGGAATAACCCTATCTGTTTGTGTTGACATGAGACGTGCTTAGCTGTAAGCCTCCCGGCAATTGTCACTAGCTTTGTGCTGCGTGTTTAGGCGGTATTTTTCGTAAGTGTATTCCAGCTTGCTCTCAGTGTAATAAAAACTCAACCGTCAGACCGCGAAATATGATATCGGAGTAGTAAGGCTCCCTTGTATTTCCAATGGAGAGTTTCAATCGCGTAACGAAACACGCGGACAGTGTCGGCGACGGGCCAATGTCGGCATGGACGGTGTCGGCGACGGGCCAGTGTCGGCATGGACGGCGTCGGCGACGGGCCAATGCCGGCTTGGACGGTGTCGGCGACGGGCCAGTGTCGGCATGGACGGTGTCGGCGACGGGCCAGTGTCGGCATGGACGGTGTCGGCGACGGGCCAGTGTCGGCATGAAGGGTGTCGGCGACGGGCCAGTGTCGGCATGGACGGTGTCGGCGACGGAACATGTAGGCATGGACGGTGTCGGCGACGGGTCAATGTCGGCATGGACGGTGTCGGCGACAGACCACGTCGACATGGACGGTGTCGGCGACGGACCATGTCGGTATGGACGGTGTCGGCGACGGGCCAATGTCGGCATGGACGATGTCAACGACGGACAAAAAACGACAGGGACGGAATGAGGGGAAAGCCGGTTTGGCTCTCTCCTGCATGGTGAAGAGTCACATAATAGCGATTAGAAGCTGAATATAAAAAGCCCAACATACGAAACACAGTACATATTAAAGATGCATCCACTTACTGAGATGCACCTTTGTTAGACTCGGGACCTTTTTTAGACGCCGGAACTGCATCATACGGACACCAAAGGGTTCGAAATGCTTTGAAATGCTTCAATATCTTCAAATGTGGAGCATTCATTCCCTTTAAGCAAAGGACAACCAGCCCCTGAAGAATATTCGCCACGGGCACGAGCACCGCCCGTCTGTTGCGTCGGGATGCACTCCCATTCCCTACGTCGTACCTATAACTATTGGTATGCTTTGTAGGTGGAAAAGACTGCTCTAGAGAGCATAGTTCTCTTTTTAGTAAATATGCTCCTCAATACGCCATGGTTTGGGCACGTCATCGTGCCTGCACAACAGTGATTGAGAACCAGCTGACGGGCTAGGTATCTGGAAATAGGCTCAAGAATGCCGGGTATGAACGCCTCGACAATCGTGTTTGTCTTGGCCTTGATCGCCGCGTGGCTTAACAAATGACAGGATTTGAATGACGTTATTTTGACGCCATAAATGCCGAGGTGACTTTGAAATACTCCCCCCGAAATGCTTTTCCCCCTTTTCGCGGGCGTGCAGTTCAGAAACTAGAGGGACTTAGGTCTTAAAAAGGGTAGGATTGTGAACAGCACTGAAGTTGTAGATCAAATTAAAACCAGTTCAAAACCACACATAAATTTGGAACACTCCCTTCAAAGATACGCACGAACGACATACGCTCAATCTTGACAACCAGAGGATGGCTTAGTTGGACGGCTACTTGCCGAAGTGATTTATGACATCAAGTGTACCAACATAATGACATCTACAGCCCGAAGCACTTTTAACCGAGCAGGCTGAGGTGTGTAGGTCTGGCGAGAGGAGCGCCCGGGCCGGAGCGATAATCGGCTTGCAGGCGATGCTTAAAGGAGAGGTTCAGCATAAGAAGAAATTGAAGCAAGCATGGGATATGATAAAACAAGCTGACTGGTAACTATTGCTATGTTTGAAGTAAAACAATGTTTTGCACATCACAATTATTTATTTGATACATATACTCCTCAGTACGTCACTGTTTGATGACGCCATCTTACCTTCCAAAACATTGATTGAGAGCCAATTGCCGGCGGTTGCATCTGGAGATTGTGCTCACGAACGCCAGATTGAAGAGCTCGGTAATTATAGTTGTCTTGACCTTGATCGCCGCATGGCCAATGGAATCGCAGGGTTTGAATGACGTTATTATGGCGCCATGGATGCCTGAGTGACGTTGATAGTCTCTCCGAAATAATCTGCACATTTTCACGGGTGCGTAGCTCAGGTACTAAAACAGTTAAGGTCCTAAGAATCGTAGGGCTGTGAACTACACCGAATAAACTCTAAGATGACTATTTCAGTTCAAAATGCAATGCAAATGTGCAACTCTTTGAACAATCGCCGCAGGCTCACGAGCCGACAGCCCGTCCGAGTCCGGGTCCGGGGCCCGTCCATCCCCAGCCGTCTGCTGGTCGGGGTCCGGGTCCGGGGCCTGTCCAGCCCCAACTTGCTACCGGTCCGTGTCTGGTCCGGGGCCCGTCCAGCCCCAGCCGTCTGCCGGTCCGGGGCCGGGACGCGTGTCCTGCCAAGAGCCCGTCCAGGCCCACACCGGCACCCATACTGTCGTCAGCGGCGACGCTCATAGACTTCAACACGTGACGGCGGAGGTTCGACGCCTTCATGCTTCTGCCCAGCGCGTCCTCGCGCTCTGTCACAGGAGTAACGGGCAATCCTGCTGGGTTTCTGGCGGAAACGCTGTTGATGATTCGTGGCTAAACACTGGGATGTTCATGAAAATATTTTTAAAGGAATATCAGGGCCGAAGGCAGGAACTTAACTCAGGAAGTGGGTCTTCTACCTCACAAAGCAAAACAGCCTCCAGTCAGATTGCCAAGGCACAGTGTGAGTTAGAGCAGTGAATAAATGATCAATGATCAATGCCTTGGTCCAGGGTAGCCTCGTGTGATCAAATAAAAAAATAATCAAAGCA